AAAAAGCTGCAGGATTCAGGCCACGCCCTCTCTCCAGATATCACCGCCAGCCAGGACTGGGGGGTGGGGTGGCTGCTGGCTGGTGCCCAAGGGTGCTAAACAGGGCGGGGAGCCCCCCCCCCTCAGGCCATAAGGGCAGGGAATCTCTGCTTTCAATTTCCCCCTCGAGTTTGCAAAAGAAAAAGAGATTCTACAGAGTGCTGGCCAGGGTCTGGAGGACCCTGGCTGTATCAGGGGACAGGTTTTATTTATGTCACTGAAGGCAGACCCAACACTACAGCTTTGTGCAAATGAAGGGAAATGGGGAAGAAGTGACATTTGGTTGTTTTTTTTTTAAAGATAGGTGCCTTTGAATTCTACAATGCAGGAGGGCACCAGGACAGGAATCGGTAGTGAATTTTCCAGGAACTGACAACCCCTGTGGGCCTTGCCAATCCTGGACCCAATCCTGATGCCAGGAAAGGACAAGGGGGGAGGGGGGTATTCATCTGTCCCTCCCTGAGATTCAAAGCCAGCCCTCCTGGGCCGCAGACCGCACTCACCCCAGGCCTCCTTCCTACGGCAAGGGCTGCGAGGGGCCTCTGCCTGGAACCCCCACAGCCCACCCCGCCCCCACGCCATTTCCAGTCCTCTGGGCGAGGGGGGGGTCAATGTCGTTCAAGTAATTTCTCTGCGAACACAAGATGGCAGCCTTAAATAAATGCAACCCTGCGCAGCTTTTAATCTTACACATCATTAAATTCCTAATTTACACATTATGTTTTCGTGGGCCAACCCATAACTCATTAGTGTTGAACTCACGAGGTAGAAAGACCAACGCACGACGGGCGCCGGGCGCCGTCACCTGCCTGGGTTAGCAGTGCCCGCCGCGGGGGCAGGAAGGCCGGCGGAGAGGGGCGCCGGGGCGCCAGACGGGCAGAAGCCGGGGCGCAGGCGAGCCCCAGGTGCCAGGCCCGGTGTCGCACGAGGCGCCTGCAGCGCTAGTGCGGGGAAAGTGCCCAGGCCGGTTCGCGCCTCCGCTCCCGGGCCTCGCGGGCGCGCGCGCGCGCACACACACACTCCCCGCACACGCACACCCGGGTGGCCGCGCGGGGCTCGGAGTCGCGCAGGCCTCCTTGGCAGACATCTTCCTGTGGGAGGATTTCAAACGAGCCGTGAAAGCCAGAAACTACACGGGTTACAAACTCCGGAATCCCTGGCCGGTCCCGGGCCTCCCCCCACCTCGGCCTGGTCCCCTCCACTCGGCCCGGGGCTAGGAGCCCACCAAGGGCAAAGCGCACACGCCCAGGCCGCTAGGCGATCTAGGGCGCAGACACTGCTCCCCAAGTCTGGTCTCCCTTATAGCCCCAGGACCTGCGCAACCGAGCCATAGGGGTCCAGGGTCAACCCAAGCGCGCAGGCTTGGGGGCCCTTCCAGGCCGGAGGTGGAGCGGAAGGTCAGGATGGCCATCAGACCCTTCAGGCTGGCCGTCGAGGCCCCCCAACGCCCCTCTTCAGGGAAGGGGGAGGAGGGATCACCTGGGCGCAGCTGACAGCCTCAGGCCCCAGCCTAGGTGCACCCTAAAGAAGAAGGAGGTGCACGCCTGTAATCCCAGTGGCTTAGGAGGCTGAGGCAGGAGGATCGCAAGTTCAATGCCAGCCTCAGCAACTTAGCGAGGCCCTAAGCAACTCAGTGAGACCCTGTCTCTAAATCAAATATAAAGGGGGGTGGCTGGGGATGGGGCTCAGTGGTTAACTGCCCCTGGGTTCAATCCCGGGTACCTAAAAAAGAAATAAAGAAAAAAAGATGTGGGAAGCTGCAGCCTTAATGGCCCTGGGGCTAAGGGAACTGGCCCGCGCGCAGGAGAAAGGAACCAGAGGGGAGCGCCAAGGACAGCTGTCCAGGCGGCGAGGGCCACGGCTGGCCTCGCCTTGCGCCGCGCCTGGTGGCTGAGCCCACGAGGTGCACGGCGCCTTCTCCGCCAAAAGCCAGCTCCGCGCCGCCGGCGGAGTGGGAGGGAGGAGGCTGGGCGAGCGCCCCGCCCTCGCCGCCCGCGGTCACAGGGGCAATTACACTCCTCGCTGCAGACGGTTACCAGCTCGCCCGCGCATCCCTCTCCAGCTCCCCTCCCCTCCTCCGCCGAACTGCTAGCTCCATCTTAGCGAGGGCGCGGGGAAGCGCAGCCGAGGCCAACTGCCTCTAGGGACCTCCCGAGGCACGAGGCTCCTCGCTTGGTGCGCAGCCCCCGGAATCGCCGGGGCCGGCCCACCGCCCCCTGAAGCACATCCCACGAGCACCACGGTCTTGGAAGTGACTTTCCAAGTCGCGAAAGGGCGGCAGAACCCTTCTCCGCGCGCTGCAAGACCCCAGCAGCCACGCTTCGCCCTGCAACCCTGCCCCCAGCCAACGCAGCCGCCCTCGCAGCCCCAGCCCCAGAAGAGCTGTTTTCTGGGTCTCTCCCGCGACCCCCTGGCGTGCTTTCCTGTTCCCAACTGGACGCCTAGACCTCTTTCCTGAAACCTTTACTCTGCCAGGCGACTTCTGCTGCTAGTAAACAGTCCCCCTCCCTCCCCCTATGGTTTATACTATTCCGGAAGGTGTCTTAGAAACTGTGAATGAAAACTCGGGCTTTGGATTAAGGGCTTCAATTTCGACTAGTTGCATGATTTGTAGCAAGTTTCTTAACCTCAGTTTCTTTATCTGCAAAATGGGAGAAATTATGCCCACCGAAGTGTGGCTGCTCGGTTTAAGGAGATGTATGTATGAATATGTGGCATGCTTGGCACAATGTCCTCATGGTTGGCAGCATTATTACCACGTGGCCAGAACTGTGGTGACATTAAAAAGAGAGATTTTCTTTTTCACCCTACCAGGAGTAAGCCCTGCAGAGTTCTGGGACCTATCTCACAAAACCAGGTGATCTCAAGCAACAGGATAGGCCTGAAGGGAGGACAGAAAAGTCGAGGGACAGCCAGCCCAGCCAATCATGCAGCCTCCTGCTTTTGCAAATGAATAGGGCTCTGTCTAGGCTTCCGGCCATTCCAAGGCCAGCTCTGGAACTCCTAAGGTTTAAACCGGGTGTGGTGTAAAGGTAAAAGTAGCCTGAAAGCAGCCCCTCTTAATGGGTGAGGACCTCTCCTTGGAGGAAGGAAAGGGAACAGGGTTAGGAAATGGAGTTGCAGGGCTCAGTGGTCGAATGCTTGCCTAGCATGCCCAAGGCCCTGGGTTCCATCATCAGTGCAGAAAGAAAGGATTTTCTCTAGGAAGAGGGATCCCGGATAGGAAACATTCAGGGCCTCTGGCAGACCACTGACAAAAAGTAATTGGACTCAAAAGAAGCCTCCCCAGAAATTGGGCCACCGTGGGAGCTGTGCGAGACAGACTTCCCATCTGGGAAGGGCTGCCTACGGGTAATTGGGTTTGCTCGAGTTGCCTCTATAATTAATAAGTGATTTGACTTGGAGATTGGAAATAGTCATTGAAAGAAAGCCGGCGGGCGTAGGGGTATGAAGCCTGGGAGCCCCCCTTCCAAATTCAATGACCAGGAGGAGGACAGTTTAAAGAACACGAGGAAAGTGATAATATTGGCATCTAACCTTCCAGTGTTTGAGTAATTCGTTGCTTAGCTACTTTGGATAGGCCATTATTTTGCAAACTGGAAACATTTGCAAGCGGTGATATTTTGCTCCTGCCTGACGCAGGGGCTGCAAACCTACCCCAGCTCTGCTGAACTCTTCGAAATATATATGCATAAATTGTTCCTAATGAGACCATCTGTTTTTTATGGCCCCTCTGGAAGCAGGAGGAACCCGAAGACTGCTCTGTCTTGCAGAAATCTGCGGCCAGGCAGGCCTGGGAAATAAATAGGGGAGATTAGAACAGTGTGCGGTGATTTAACAATATTCGGGCAGCGGTTTGGTGGTGGAGATGTGTGCTGCTTGGCTTCCCAGGGGTCCGGGTCATTTAGGGTGATTCCGGGCTACTTGGGGCATGGTGTCTGCCGTGGATGGGCCTCCTAAGAGGCCCTAGGGCTGTGCTGGGGTTTCAAAGCACACACGAACCTCGGTATTTCCATATTTGGAGCATCACCAGAACCACGCAAAACCCTAAGCTTGCCTCCTGCCCCAGGGGCCCTGGACAAGTCCCCAGCTGTGGGTGGCCTCAGGCATCTCCCACTAGCCAGAGACCCCCCCAGCTATGGAGGTGAAAGGAGCCGGCCTGAGTCTCAGAGGCTAACACCGGGCCTCATTCCACTCCACGACCGGATCAGAGCCCAGCGTTCACCAGGGCCTGGTCCCAAAGGCTGAGCTTTCAATGCTTCGCGCGTCTGGCAGGCCCAGGAGCCGGGCCTGAGCCCGCACCGAGGGTGGCAGGACAAACACTTTTTACATTACCGGGGGGCTGTTAATTGGGGCAGTGCAAAAGATGCCGCGCCTGCCCCTCATCGGCGGGGGAGGGGGCGTCAGGAGTGGCCAGTGGGGTCTGCTTAATAATAGAGGGGCTGCCCTGGGGAGCCTCGGATATCGGTAACCCCCATGATTAATTCATAACTCTCCACTGCGCCTGGCACCGTCTCGGGTCTTTAATCGGTTCTGAATGTCAGCGAGGCTTCCCCGACAGCCTGAGCGCTGCCTTTTGAATGTGTTGAAAGTCGCTGCGCGCACACCAGGAGACAAAGTTGCCATCTGCTCCGGGGACCACGGCAACTGGGCGCTGGGAGGGGCCTTCCTCCTGCGGCTCCTGCTGCCCAGAGCGGCCTCCTCTTCCAGGCCTGCCCTAAAGCCAACACTGTGCCCCGCAACACCCCGCCACCTCCCGTCCCGGACTCGGGGGCATGCATGGTAGAAACTCCAGCTTGCTGCGAAGTAGAGCGTGGTGGCGGGGCGCGCAGGGACTCTGCGGTCACCCAGACCGAGGCCTATGCTAATGAGATTATAAGCTCGGGTTGTTTGTGTGCGCGGACGCGGGGGTGGGGGGAGCAGATAAAGTGCGGGGACGGGAATGACTTCGAGGGGGGAGGGGGAAGCCCCGGGAGAACAAAGCTCCTGGCCTTCGGCCTCCGAAGAGTCGCAGAAGTGACCGCCACTGCCAGTACACAGGAGGAAGCGGGGTGATGGACCGGGGGTGGGGGGGGGGCTTTAGAGAAAGCCGAGGGGGCACGGGAGTGGGAAAGGCTCAACCTGCAGCTAAACATTTGGACTTCGAGATGTTTTTTTCTTTTTTTTTAAGGAGCTGGATCCCAGGAAGGTGGGGCGGGAGACATCGCGCCCCGTAATGGCAGGCAGGTTCTACTCTGCTTCCCGGAGGAGCCCCGTCCTTTCTCCCCTCCCCCGTCCCGGCCTGCAGAACCGGCGTTAGGCGGCCTCTCCGATCGTGACCCGGAGGAGGACGGAGCGGCAGGGGGCGGCCGGGGGTCTCCCAGCCTCCGGCCTGCGCTTCCGCACTCCCGGGCTCGGAGCGTCGCCTCCCTCGGCAGCGCTTCGCCACCGTACTGTAATTCCACACTCCCGCGAGCGCTGGGGTTGCGGGAGGGAGTTGGAACTGCATCCGATGAGCACGCCGGGAGGTGAGATCGGGTAGGAAATAGCCCAAACTTTTGAGTTTTGTGCTGGCCCACCCCCCCCCACCCCCCTCACACTCCCACACCCTCCACACCCCCCCCACACGTAATTTACCCTCCCCCTTCCCAGCCGCCACCTCCCCCACCCTCTCGATTCCGCAGGGTTTGCAGCCAGTCCTGTCATATGGTTTTGTTTCTGAGCTGCTGCTTTTTTTCAGACACGAAAATTGGACACGTGGAGAATTAGCCCGGCTGGAGAAGCGCGGGATGCCGACTGAACAATGGTTTCCAGCACCGAAGCTGGAGGGGGCACCTTCCCCACCCGAGCTCCGAAGGGCGGCTGCCTCGGTACACTGTGGGCATACCCCCCACTCGCCCCCTCCCTGAGCCCGGGAAGGGAGAAGCGCGGGTCGTGCTTTGGGGAGTCCTTTCCCCAGAAACAAACCCCGGGTGGGCCTGGGCTCTGAGGTCACTGTGCCTTGGGTCTCCGGGGACTTCCAAGTAAAGAGCTTGCAATTTTTCCTGGAGAAGGTTCTGTCTCAAAGACGCCACCCCAAATGTTAATGTTTGAAAACCCAGCCAAGCACCCCGTCCTTCAGCAATTGTACCCTTCTTAGGCTGTACTTTCTCAAGCTGCTTGGAGGCCCCCCCTCATCTGATGAGGGTCCCTAGGTGGCAGCTCCTCTTCCGAGTAGCTTCCTTTAGCCACAATCTTCTTGCACTGAAACCCCAACCTTCCCCCACCAGGACGCGCTCAGCCCCCTCCTCCCCCCCAGCAGGCACCGGCAGCAGCCCTGGTTCCCCCAGGCAGTTTCTCTTGCTCAGAAAGGCCTGTGCCTCTCGCTGGGGCGCACACACACACACACAGCCACAGAAGCTCCCTTGCCTCTCGGAGCCAGTTTCCTTTTACAGGCTCCCTTGGAGCCGCTGGGGCTGTGGCAAAGCCTGCAGCTCCCTGTGCAGCTGTGGGTCTCCCTGCAGTGCTGTGGGCTGTGAATCTGCCTTCCCTTCCCTTCCTGCAAAGGTCAGGCTGCCTCCTCTCCAGTGGCCACACTTCAGTTCCGGCCTGCAGAGCTTGCACACTGCAGCCTGAATGTGGGAATGGAGTGAGCGTGCATGCAAGGGGGAGTCACCCCCTAGCCCCAGGGGCAGGGACCAAGGAGTGTGGGATTTAGGGAGGGAAACACTGCAAACCCCAAGACAGTTCAGTATTTGCAGCCAAAGACTCAAGAGGAGACAAAACCAGGAAATGCTGTTGGACCTTGAGTGCAAAAGCAGAGGCCTTTCTCCCTCAGGGGTCTACCCTAGGAGCAGGCCAAGAATTAGCCCGGCTGGACCTTTGTGGCATTGTGTCCCATGCAGTTTCTGGAGCCCTTGCAACTTGGGTAAGGCTGCAGTTCATTTCAAGCAGGGGTCAGAAGCAAGCTAACAACTCAGGCGTGGAATTCATCAGCCACTTGATATCAAGTCAGCTGCAGCCCCATCAAAGAGGGACCCCCAGAGAGATCTTTGTGCCACCCCAGCCCCAGAGACTACCGGGCAGAAAGTTGTGGAGAGAAATGGGAGGAAACGCCATTAAACTTGCTTCCTCTAAAGAGCCGCTACCCCCAGTCTTCTCTGAACTGTACCTAAAAAGTCAGGAGAGAGAACTCGTTAACTTTTGTTTGGTTTAACATTGCCAGCTTCAAGTCAACCGTAGGCCCCCCGAAGGTTTTGTAAAATATTTAATCTAGCTGAGACAATTTCCTGCAGTCCCTAACCGGACCACCCCACTTACTGAGCCGCTGCCAAAAAGCCAGCTTGACTGCAGGCTGGTAACCAGAGGCCTTCCAGCCGCCTGGCTGCCCTGTGACCTCCACCGGAGGAGCCACAAGACTTTGCACAGAACCCAGAGAGATCCAGACCTGGGGAAGCCTGGAGGTGCAAAGGAGTGGGGAAGCAGCCCAGGAAGTGGAATTAAGACCCTTTTCACACTAAACTGACTGTTGTCCCTGTGACCTTCTGGGGCCCTCACCCTCTTGGATGGTGTCTCACCTCCCTCCGGGTGTGGAAGAATGGGCCCTATGAGAGGGTTGGCCCTCTGTGTGTCCCCCAGCGCCCTCCTGTTCGGTCCCATTCAATGTTTTCCTGGACTTAATCTTACTAGAGAATACGGGCGGGGTGGAATCCTTCGACTCCGCTGAGCCTCAACCCTTTCCAAACGTGAGGCTCACGGGGAGAACGCTCTGCCCAGTTTCCATTCCCGCCTCCAGAAGAACGAGCCGAAAACATGTGTACTGTAAATAAAGCCTGTCTAAATACAGCACTCGGGTAAAGGCTGCCGAGAAAACACTCGGCATCGCTCTGCTCAGAGAGTGAGTCAGCTTCCCAGCCCCAGCCCCCGGGGAACAATGGGGACCTTCTGTCGACCCCGGACGAACCCCAGGCCCATTTAGGTGGCAGGGGCGCGGGCACCCTGGGACCTTCGGCCCCGAGGTTTGGGGGGGAGGGGCAGAAATAGGGGTCCAGCCCCAGGATCTGCAGGCCCGGGATCCCTCTGCCCGCAGCTGCAGCCCAGGGGTGGAGGGTTAAACAAACACCGGGCAGAGAAGCCAGCCTGCGGGGCTGCGGCCGGGGTTGCGCGGAGAAGGGAGGGGACCCGGTGCGTGCCTCGGAGCCTCCCGACGGGAAGACGCCCCCTCCCTACTCCAGGCTCCCACTCTCGCCCACCCGCTGGGACGCCTCTCCTCCGCGGCCTCTAAAGTCTCAGCGGAAAGGAGCGTAGCAGCTGCCAGAGTCGCCTTACTCCTTCGACTGTCCCCATAGGCCCAGCCACGTGAACTAGCCCTCCACACCCACACACGCAAGTGTGCTGGAGACTTCAGGAAGCCTGGCCTCCAGCTGGCAGTGTGGGCACCCATACTGAGCGACCCGGCGCCTCTCTGGCAGAGGGCACAGAGGTGGGACTTGTGGTGGCCTCCAACACTACGTCTTCTGTCGTGACCTCTGGGTTTCCCTGGGGAAACTGCACTCCCCGGCGAGTGGGGCCATGTGGAGACCTGAGGTTCAGCGCCGACTGGTGTGATGGCCTCTGCTCTGGTGTGGGCCGGCGGTTTCCCCGTGCCATGACCTTGAGGGTCAGGGATCCACCCGACAGGCCCGCGGTTTCCGGAGCCGCGCAGCCAGCCCTTCCTCTCAGCCTCGCCCGCTCAGGCCTCCCCCAGCTGCCGAGCCTCGCCGCGCTAGCCCAGCTGGCTCCCCGCCCGGAAAGGGGGCGCAGGGGGCGCAAGCACCCAGGGCTTCACCCACGCCCTGAGCACATGCGCCCGGCCAAGAGCCGGGGCCGCCACAGGCAGCCTGAAATTGCCAAATCGTCGCAGGGCAGGGTTGGGGGTGAGGCCTTGGGAACCGGGTTTGAGCAGAAGAGGAGGAAAACAAGTGAAACGGGAGGGGCGGGCTGGGTGACGGCTCGTAAATCACCCGGCCCCACCCTCGGGCCTCAGCGCAGAGGCGCCCAGGCCCCGCGGGGGAGAGGAGGGTCACTCGGCCACTCCTGGCCGACCTCTGAGCTCCTCCGAAGCCGCCGCCCCACCCTGGGCTCACGCCGCGCTCGGACCAGCTCCGGGCCCAGATCGTAAACCGCCCGCCGGATTCGGCGGGAAGCCGCCCTTGGACGCAGAGCGCATCCGCCCAAGGGGAAGTTTATTTATAGCTTGTAAACGTAAAGGAAACCAGACCGCGCTAGCTCGCCGAGCCCGAGCCCCGAGCTCCCCACCTGCCCACCAGGAGGGTGCAGCAGGGCGGGGGGACTGGCTGTGCTCCCCCAGTCGCTGGGCACCCAGGGGAGACCAGGGTGCGGAGATGTTGGCAAGCCTTCATTTCCTCCCGATGTGCCCGTGCGGTGCCATGAACGGCAGAGAGGGTGGAGGCCAGGGCTCGGGCACCGCGTGGTTAAGGTGGGGGCGACCGAGTTGGCCCACTTGGCACGCACCCGCGGGCAGGCCAGGCGGCGTGGCGCGGGATTCCGCACATCCCGCTCCACGCCGGGGTAAGTCCTGGAGTGCCAGAGAGCTGGGGAGGGGGCGCTCCGGGAGCCTCTCTTTGGAAAGCGGGATGCTTTCCCCGTTTCTCCTGCGCACGTGTCCTCCTCAGAGCAGGCAAGGGCTGCGTGCCTGGGCTGCGATCCGCGGGTGACAACGGCTGAGATCGCGCCCTTTCCACTCCCCACCCCCGCCGTCGCCGCCTCTCCCAGGGAGCTCCAGGCTCCGGGGTGCGCTCGGGGCAGGCCCGAGGAGCCAGAGAAACGGAAAAGTGCCAGGGAGGAGATGAGGAAGAGAAGACCTTCAAAAAACGCAGCCCCGAATAGACAGCAGCAGAGCTGGAAAGAGACGCCGGCACCAAACCCCCCCCCCCCCCCCCCCCCTTCCAGCCACCGCCCGCCTGCCCCGCCCCCCCCCCCCCCCCCCCCCGCAACCCTCGGCACGGGCGGCCCCTCCCAGTCCCAGCGGAGCGCACCCACCCCGGCCTGGGTCGGGGCGAATTCCTGTGTGTGTGGTGTGTGTGTGCGCGCGCGCGCGCGCACCCGGCCGCCGGGAGGGCAGTTGCGAAACGGGCTGTTGGCTGCAGCGCGGCATAATGGAGGTGGCTGGAACAATGCGCGCTTTGTGCGCGCGGGGAGTTGTTTTCCACCCGCCTCGCCCCCCTCGCTTGGGCCGTATGGCACTTTAATCCCCGCCACGGCTCGGCACAAATGCACTTGTGTCCTGCGGGTCACCGGGGGCCGCGCGACCGGAGCCGCCCCTAGCCCTCCCCCGCGGACCCCACCGCCGGCCGCTCCATCTTCCTTCCTGCGCACCCCCCACCACCACCTCTATTCCCGGCGTGGGCCGGTGAGCCGGCTTGGAAGCTTCCGGACCCGCCGGCCACTTTTATTTTCCGTGAAGGCGGCCCCTCCCCCTCCGCGCGCGCGCGCACACACACACATACACACACACACACACACACACACACACAGCGGACCGCAGGCCCCACACTCGCAGCCCGCCCTCGCCTCGCCTCGGTCCGCCCGCCCCCGCCCCGCGCTCCGGACTCCTGCGAACAATAGTAAATGTCAACAGATTCCGCGCGGCGAGTGTCTGACTCGGCCGAGATAAGGGTGCGCGGTTGGCCCTGCGCTCCGCGACGCCGCGGGGGGAGCCCACCCTGACCCCAGCTGGAAAGAACCGGCTGTGATGAAACCCAGGCCGGGGAGTGGAGGGCAGGAGGGGAGAGCCCCAGCCCGTGCCCGGGGGGAGCCTCGTGAGGACACCAGGCCTTGCCCCGCCCCCACCCCGCTTAACCCGGTGCTGATGGGGGGCCGGTGGGCACCGGGAAAGCGACCGGGTAGACGTGGCGCTTGGGCCTGCTTTCAGCTCACGTCTCCTCCGATCACCAGCGGAGGCCGGAAAAATGCTGATCCGGGGGAGGGCTCCAGCAGTTTTCGACCTACTGGGAGCCGGCACCCGAAAGACGCGAAGGACTCG